GTGATGGAAAGATCCCAAGGCACAGAAACAAAGGATTTACTTATGAGGCCAAAGCCCTATGATCCAATCATTGCCTAAAAGGCCCACCTCTGAACCTTACTACACTGAGAACCATGCTTTCAACATGAAAGTCTGAGGAACATTCCAGATGCTGATAACAATTACCATAATACCTCCGGAGTAATGCACTGGACACGGGGGCTACCAGTTTGAATTATGACACAATTTTTGCCCCCAAGAGTTCTCAATGTGATGAGGAAAAGACATGTGAGTAAATAATTATAAGAGTCAGTGGGACTTAACTAGGTGTAACTTTGGAAGACTAGATGAGAAGTATCTGCATATGGGAAAACCAGAAAGTCTTTGCAAAGGAGAAGAAAAAAATTAGTTGAATTTTGTAAGATGTACACACACTTCATGAAGAGCAAAGGAGGTCCAGACAGAGGAAACTGTACAAGGCATGGAATTTGTGGGAAGATATGTAGTATTTAAAATATGTAAAGGGTCACCAGCAAATAATGTTTGTTATTTGGATAAGAGGTATCCCCCCAAAGCTCCTGTATTAATGCAGGAATGTTCAGAAGTGAAATGACTGGATTTTGAGAGCTGTAACCTAATCAATTCAACCTAGTTTATTTATTTATTTTTCATAGCTTTATTGAGGTAAAATTGAAGAACAATAAAATGCACATATTTGCAGTATGTAATTTGATCAGTTTTGACATGATTTGCCATGTATATAACTAATACAATCAATATAAAAAGCATTTTCATTTAAAGTAAGAACTCTTACAAACAAAATTATATCATCTTTCTCTAAACAAACACATGATTTTACAGAGATATCTAAAATTTAAGAATTTATAAATATGGAAAAGATTTTAGCTATGAATTAAGTCTTAGTAGTTGACAAAATAGGTACATATGACTAAGTGGCAATTTCATATGGTTCTAATTTTATGTAGGCTTGAGAGTATCTTTGAAAATGAATTTCTCTTTTAATTTGACAATTATACTAAAGACCAAACCCAAAGGCTCTAATTAAACATGTTAATTCTAGGGCCAGAAAAATCAGGCCCAGACTTCAATGATCAAAATGGAGAAACAACAAGTTAGCATTTGGCTGTCCACCACTGCAGCCTCACTCTCCTCCCCTTAAGTGAGCTCCCAATTCCACTGTAGTTACTATTATTATTTTTCTTTATAATATTTCATGACATCAAAACAGATCAAAGTCTGTTGAAAATTCTAAAAATGTATGTGATGACTGACAATGCTGGCAAACTGTTCCTACAAAAAACAATTTTAGTGGAAGATAATAGGATGTAATTCACAGCTATATTTAAAAACAAAATTGGTAAAGGCATTATTAGAAGAAACATTTGGATGCAGAACCATGATAAACACATTAATAAAAGATAGTTTGAAGGTGATTTGCATATTTATTAATTTTAAGAGGTTAAAACACCTGCAGCTTAGAGCATATGTGTGCCTTGATTCAAGGTATCTACTAAATGCTACTGTTCTGCTAAACCATGGAATTCTTAAAATTTCTCTGTTTAAAAACATTTTAATTTTTGCTGAGGTTGAATATGGGTAATTTTCTTATGGTTACCTTTCTGGTTGGTTGTTTTGTTTTTGTTTCTCATTTAAGAAAACCTTAGTACCTCAAGATTAAATACACATTTTTAAGAAGATATTTTCTTCTAAAAGTTTTTAAAGTTTTCTTTTCATATTTAGGAATTTTATACCTCTGGAACTGACTTCAAACATGGTGTAAGGGAAATATTCTATTTCATTCTTCCCCCATATGGCTAAATACTTGTCCAAGGGATTTGCTGAATAGTCCATTCTTCCCTTGCCAGATCTGGAAAGCCACCTCTATCATATATCATAGTTCCATGCCTGTGTGGATTCATTTCTGCACCTTCTATTCCATTTTATTAGTCTACTTGTAATTAGATCTTACTTTAAACAAATCTCATAGCATTTATCACATTATTTAAGACTATGAGTATAAGCATCATGTATCCTCTTTGTAGGTTGATAATAGTGACAATGACCTATTCATCTTTTTTATTTCTCGTGGTATCTAAATTAATATTTCTACATCATAAGTTTATCTGCTAAATAAGGGATGATTTGTAGGTAAAGAGCCATAAATATTCTCTGCCCCCAATTTATTACCTTAACAGAACTAACTCTAAGAATGTAATAACTATGTTTTCTTATTTTCTGGACTCTTAATGCTCTAGTAGCTGGGGCCTTGCTGATAAAGAAGAAATTATACTTTTCAGGGTTAACTAATTCCTACAGATAGCAAACATCTCCACGGGGAAGGACAATGCTTCTAATGTGTAAATGAACCAATAGGGGCTCATCCACTCCAACTACCTACTTTACCTAGCTTTAATATATCAAGTCAATATACTCCAGTTCTAATCTCTTTACAGCCAGGTACCAGGCAACTAAAGAGAGCCCCTATGTTCCAGAGCCCACTGAAATTATTCACAGTAGAAATCCTAAATCTTCTGACCCTGCCTGACCTTGTTTTCCAGTAAAAATGACAATAAAAGTGGTTACCCATGTTCTGCTCCCTTGCCTCTTGACCAACCCTGGAGATTTCTGATGACGTGGCCTCTGTTTCTAGACATCTATTGAGTATAAGCTTCTTCCTTCATGACCATCATATGTGTCTGCATATATTAATATACCTGGCAGTTCATTATTCTAAGTATTTGACAATTGGTAGGGTTAGTCAATGAAAAACAGATACATTCATATTGTTTGATTGCTTTTTTTGCATGTCTTAGAGATCAGGCTAACATGAATTTTATTTTGTTCGTTTATGAAGAAACTGTTCTTTTAAGAACAGAAAGTTAAATTCAGAACTGTGATAATCCTTAAGCCTTATCATCTTACAGTTTGTCCTTTTCACAGATGACAAGATGAACTATTGAACTGAGCATTCTGATTCTATTAGTATTTCAAAGAACTAAAAATTTGAAGGAGTTAATCAAAACATAAGAGTGTATCATATGAATTACCTCACACAAGTTTATTAAATTGAGCTGTCCAATACATACTCTGAAATGGAATCTGAATTAATCTTTCCCAAGGATAGACAAAAGAAATAATCATTCAATTTTCTTTCCTTTCAGTAAAAATATATAAGCCTGGTTCATGTTTGAGTACATTCAACTTAGTGAAAATTCAGACTTGGATCTATAGTACCATAATGATGAGTTCTTCTTGGATAATCTGTATACTGGACCAAGCCATTTATTTTAGGAATGCATTAAAACTTTCAAATAGTTTAAAGGGCTTTCCAGTTGTAATTTTAACTACAACACAGTGAAAAACAGCATACAGAGCCATAACACTTTGGAAGCCAGTGTCAACTTTGGCACTTATTATCTAGGGGGATAACATGATTTCTCTGTGTCTCAGTTTCTCCATTTCTAAAAGAAATGATAGGACTTGGCCTGTTTACCATTCAGGATCAAAAAGAGTTACCTTAAAGTTCTTATTGCATTATTAAACCCATATAAGTTTATAATGCTAGTAGTCAAAATCATTATCTATTATATTAAGAATTTTATGCAATAACATTTTTATAAGCTAATTGTATGAATGTTTCAATATTACTCCATCAAGAATTTCAAAAAATATCAGAGACTTCAGTAAAATTTTCTATCACAGAGAAAACTAAAGTTTTCTTGGTTTTAAAAAAAATCGATTTAGGGTAAACCATTAGTCTTTATAATTTTAAAATGATTTTTAGCATTTTAATAACACTTTTTACTTAGCTGGTGCTTTCTAGTTTGCTGGTATAGTTTTCATACAAGGTATCTGTGTCTGAGTGTGAATGTGGATCAGGGAGGTCTTAGCTCTAGTTAACATTTCCCACACTGAGTTCCTCAGAGGACTCATCTCTCCTCACGCTTGTCAAAACAAAACTCAGTTTCTCCATGGTGTTCTCATTCTCATCATCCCTGTCACACAGATGAAGGAACTGAGACTTTCTAAGGTTTACAATATATGCATGCATGTGTGCACATGTAGATGGGAACAGCAAAAACTGCAGAGAGGTTCCCCTGTTCACTCATTTTCTACAGTGGCCTTATCAGGTAGGAACTATCATTATTCTTACAAAGAAACTTAAGAACAGAGACTAAGTAATCAGCTCAAGGTTGCTCAGCAATTCCTTGGCAGAGCCTGGATGCAGATCCAGAAAGTTTGCTACATTGTGCATGCATTAATCTTAGAAACAAAGACTGAAGAAAAAAACTTGCAAAAAATATAAAGTATTACTTTTAGGTTTAGAAACAAAACCAAATGATACATTGTTTGAAGACAAAGACATGTTAAAGTTTTAAAGAAATCAAGGGAATTGATAGAAAAACAAACTAGGATGCCCCAAGAAGGAAAGGAACTTAAGAAGGGCTTCTAGGAACCTCATGGTGTGGATGCTGTTTTAGGTTTTACATTGGGCAATAATATGTCACCAGGGCTCATTTTATTACTATGAAAAGTAAGCTACATGTAGGTCACAACTTACACTGTCTGCATCAAATAACCTTATGATAAAAAATAGATTATTAGTTAATAAGATATCTAAAACCCTTAACTTATCCTGGACTTATGACATATGTAAATTGAAAAAATCACTCCTCTATTCCCAGAGTGGAACAAATTCAATAAAGAATGGCAAATGGCATGAGCACCATCACTTCCTCCCATGGCAGATAGACAGTGCTTATCAACATGACAGCCTTCCTCCCACATCTGGCCACTGTTTCAGAACCCTTTCCATACCAGACTTCAAAAATTCATGACTGATAGTGAACAGGTGGCTGGTAATACCACTTCAGTTTGGTTGAAGGTGACACCCTCATTACCACTGTGCTCAGGGATCCCTAGGGTTGAGGCAACTAGGAAACTCTGGAATCTCCCAGCTGTTTGCACTGGTGCCTTTTTTCAAACACACAGTTAGTTACCTGTTAAGTTTGAAGCATCAGTTGGACTCAGTTGTAACCAATGGCGGGCATCAGAGTCAACCACAACATCTGTGGGAGTGTTCAGTTCTGGGTCTTCCTCACAAGTCTGCCATGGGCTCATAGACAGCTCTGCCTCATTGTTATAGCCCAGAGCTGTGTCACTGCTGGTACTATCACCTTGCAAAATAGAAGAATCAAAGTTTGAGAAAACAGCTAGCTGAAGATCAGAATACTCACAATTGCCAATAATGCAAGTAACTAAACACTTCAACAGCTGACACAGCAGGAATTGCTCAGGGGCTTGGGCAGAACCTGCAGAACTTGACTGGGGTTCAGATGGGTGTCCATATGAAAGCTCTAGGTCAACAAATTAAATCTTCTAAGCACTCATATAGATACTATGAACTCTGATATATATTATCCAAGTGGCGTTTTTTTTTTCTAATTGTCTTTGCTCAGTTTTCTTATACACCCCCCAAATTATGCCACGTCCTAAAGTTTTCTACCAAGACTTATTCACCAACAAAATGAAGGTGAGTGAAGGAAGATGTTGATAACTGATTACACCACAAATGCAAGTTTATGTGCTAAACATGTACATACTTCAAACTTGATGTTTCAACTAAATAGGGTGAATCATCTAGAGCCTTTTGGGGATGAATTATCTCACTGCAACAGATTTTCTACTATAGAAACTCTCTCCTTTAAATACTAAAGTTATTAGTATTTAATAACTAATTAAATCATAGTTATACTGACCTATGAAGACTTACAGGGCTATTTATTTAATCTGACACAAAACAAATCTAAATAGTCTTCCTCCTCAAAGTCTCCTGACCACTTCCTAACAATTTTATGTGTCTACCCTTCCTTCTGGAAGCTCTTTGTATCTTCTGCTGACAGTTCCCCAACCTTATTGCTTCTAATCTGCTGTTTACTTGTAAAGAACTGAAAGTTGTCTCAGTAATCATATGACCAAGTTGTAAGGTCTCAAACTTCATCTTCCACAAAACTTTAAGCCCAAAGAGAGAAGGTAGAGCATAAGATGAGCTCCTCTGTACCCCATCAAGAGCCACTCTGGGTAGTAGGAGTTGTTGAGGAGGCTATTTTTTTTTTAGTATATGATAATATATTTCAGAATTCCAATCAAAATTTTATTTTAAAGTACTTAGGCCACTAACATCAATATTCTTCTGCACCTTTGTGTTCCTAGCCTTCTGGGGAAGGTAATTTTTCTTCTGGATGCATCTGCTCACTCAAGCTCTCAGTCCCTCTGTGACTCTCATCTTGAGAAAGGTACAGAGTTGGAAAGTAAGGGCACTCAGGTATAGGCAAATGACTAGAGCTTTTTAATTAACTGGATTAACATTATATCATTTTGGGAAAAAGAATATTCCATTTCACAACCATGTCTCTTCAACTGATAAGATACCACTTGAGTTAGAAAGTAAAGAAAAGAAAACACATCAACTCTGCAGTGGACGAATGCAGACTACATTTCCTGGAACTTACTCTTCTGCCTTTCCCTACATTTTCCTTGTGTCTGCTGCAGATCATCCTTCAAGTCCAATTCAGCAGGGCTACTGCTTCTTCGAACTAAGATCTTCAGACAAAAAGAAATATTGCAATTATTACAGGAGAGCTAAAATTTGTAAGACTATGTAAAGTTCCTACTCTACATTTATAAAGAAAAAGAAACAATAATAGCAATAAAACATTGAATGATATTTTCCATTTGAAACGTGTGTTCAACAATTATATATTACTGAATTATATATTATTCAAGACCTGAAACTTTAATTTCTATCCTCTACTTTGTCAACTGACATCCAATTAAAATGGATCTACTAAGAAGGGATGCCAAATTATATGGAAGAAATTTATTTTAAAGCCCTATTTGTTCCTCTGGTCAAGCACACATACACAGTGAACACAATTCTCCAGAAGGCCTAATCTACCCACAAATGATGAGTATGCAGGCAGGTAAAGTGCAAACTCCTTCCAGATCCACTTTGTGCCCTTCTAGTTAAAAGTGCCACAGACATTCCTGAGCACTGCTTAAACACTGAACCTTATGTGAAATATGGAGCACTAAAAAATCATGAGGCAATCTGCATCCTCTAAAATCTGATAATTTGCTTGGACAGACAAAACATACACAAATTACACAAAATAACTACAATGTTCATAAGCAAAATATGCAAATAAATTCTCTCTGATAATTATGTAAAATAAAGTGTTACCTTATTTGGCTGACAGTTACAGGACAGCTGTTCAAGAAGGCAATAGACAGGAAGTGGTAGAGGGAAGGCAGGAGGGGATTCAAGGCAGGAAGCACGGAGTGGTAATCAGCAAGTTCTATGTGCAGGAAAAGAAGCTGATTATAGCAGGCCATGCAAGGAAGCCAAGTGAAGAAGGAAACAGATAAGAAGAAAAGCAGACCTTCTAAAAGAGGCAGCTGCCAGTGGGCCTTAACATGAGGTTTTTGGACTTTTGGCCTAATAGTAATAAAATGAGCTACTATACATTCTAGATAATAGCTCACTGCGATTAAATCCTTACTGGAAAGACAAGTAGTTATCTGTGGAATAGATTAGAATGAAGAAGAAAATTGCTATAGAATGGTTATGTTGATACAGGAATGAGGGGATAAGGTTTCTGATACTGGAAAAGGAGAAGAAAATAGAAATAAAAATGCTGCAGGATGACAGGTTAGAGCTTATGATCAAGTATATATAGGAGTGAAAGAAAATTAAATTACAAAAGGGCAGAGAGCTGGGGGACAATGAGAAAGATGGTGACAAATGGAGAGAGGGAGGGAAGTGTAAAGAAAGGAAAGAAAGAAGGAAGACAAGACCTTGAGAAAGTTTCAGACATTTTAGTTTTTATCTTTGTGCTGAATATTCAAAGAGAATATCTTATAAGTAGGGACCAAAAATCCAGCATTGGTAAGATAGAGAACAGAGCCAGGAGTAAAGATGTAAATTTAAGGGTCTCCATTGCAGAAGGTATTTGGGGGGTGGGGGAAGGACAAACAATCTGGGATTTAATTAACCAATTAAAGGGATAGATATTAAATAAGCAAACAAATTTTAAAAAGGGGACCAAAAAGTATAATGAAAAGACAGAATGATTACTAAACTAAAAGGATATAGTCAAATGAAATACTTAGGAAGATTAACGTTACCAGAAAAGAAAGTATTACAGTACTACACACACTAAGTAGACAGGACAGCTCCTTAATTGCAAAGCAGAATGTGAACTTTTTTGCTTCGGACTGCATGAAAGAAAAACACGCCACAACTTTAGAACTAGATCTAACATAAAAATTTTGGTTGCAATTTAGGGCTCACAGGAAGTCAACCTCCAAGATATCCATGTGCTCTCTCAAAAGTGACCAGAAAACAGGGTACTGAAATGGGTCTATTGTGAGGGCATTTCCAATATTACCTTTGCCAGTGGCAAAAGAACCAAGATTCCAGGATCAAAATAACACTTCCTGACTCATAGAAGACTAAATGCTAACACTGTCCTGATGAACATTCATCTACTTAGACTTCTGGGTATTCTTCTGATTAAGATCAGTCAGCTACTCACAATCAAAAAATCACCAAGCAGCAAAGGAAATAAATCATTAGGCCTAAGAGTCTTAAAATCAACAACTATCAGATTTCAGATAATCAAATAAAGATTTTAGAATTACAATTTGTGAATACTTTAAAGGAATAAAAGATGAGAATCATAAAAATGATGAAGCAATAAGAGATTATGAGAAATTATAAGATACACTTGAAAAGAATCAACTTAAACTTTGAAACAAAATATATACTTGCTGTGCTCATTGGAAATATTAAAGAGTAGACTAAAGAGAGAGTTATTGAACCAATGAAAGACAGAACTAATGAAATGATCAGAATGTAACCAGAGGACCAAAGAGAACGGAAAATATGAAGCTTAAAAGCTTAAGAAACATGGAAAAAAGAATGCGAAATTCTAATATATCTATCCATAATTGTAGAAAAGAGAAGAATGAAAAAGTGGCCATATTTGAAAAAATGATTATCAAGAATGTTCCCAAATGACAGAAGACAAGCATGCAGAGATGAGTGGTGCACAGCACATACCAAAAAGGACAACTGTATAAACCCAAAGAAACCCATACCTAAAAATATATTATAGGGAAATTGAAGGATAAGGACAAAGAATAGCAAGAAACAACAACGAGAGAGGATGGATAGAAGACTTCTCACTAACAACAACGAAAAGACAAAATACAACAGAAACACAGCTTTCTCTAGAAAAGAAGGGGGATAAGGAAATGAGAGAAGAATAGTAATTAAAACACTGTGGTATTGTCAGAGAGACAAAACAACCAAAAAATGAAGATATATAACAAAACGAAGAAAGTTAGCAGAATACAACAATTACTAATTGGGCATTATGTAAAATTGTGGATGTATAACCAACGTGATTCTGCAATCTGCATTTGGGGTAAAATTGGGAGTTCATAACCCCACTTCAATCTAATGTATGAAATATGATATGTCAAGAGCTTTGTAATGTTGTGAACAACCAATAAAAAAAAAATAAAAAATTAAAAAAAAAAAAGAAAACTTTTCATTACCTACAAAAAAAAAATAAAAAAAATAAAATCTTGACATTTAAGAACCTTTAAAAAAACAAAACAAAACAAAACAAAACAAAACGAAGGTTTACACACCCACGAAACAGCATATCAAAGAGAGGTAGTATTTCAACTCAATAAATGAAAATGGATTCACTAAATTGAGACCTGGGACAAACAATTATTATGAGGGAAAAAATGAAATTGGGTCCCTATCTTTATTCATATACAAGGATCAGTTCTTGGTGGGTGAAACTCTTAAATATATAGAGCAAAATTCTTATTGGAAACACTTATTGAATAAACATAAGGTAGTATTTGTTTTCCATTGTGTAGCTGAGATTTTTACAAACTTGAGAAAATCATATCCATAAAAATGATGATAGAGAACATTAAAATGAAGGATTTCTGTTCATCAAAAGGTATCACAGAGAGAATGGAAATATAAGCCACATATTGCAAGAAGATATTTACTATACACATAACCAAAACCAGATCAATATGCAGATACAAATAAGAGAAAAAAAGACAATAAGTGACAAAGTAGGCACTGCACAGATGAAACACAAATGACCAATCAACATGGAAAGATTTCAAACCTTATTGGTAACCTAGAAATGCAAATATCAGATGTTATTTTCACCCATTTGGGACTCATAAAAATTTTTGAATTTATAACTAGAAAAGTTTTGGCAAAATTGTGAATGGGAATTCTATACATTGATCACAGAAATATAAGTGGTAAAACTACATTGGGAGTTAGGTCTTATCTTATATAGAACATTATTTTATTGTATAATTTATTAATTCCACTCCTAGATGGTCATCATAATGAAAACTTTAAACATGTAGATCTTGAGACACATACAAAAATGTAAACAGTGGCAGTTTTCCCTAAAAACAAAAGCTGGAAACAATCTAAAGGCCCATCAACAAAAGAATAGAAAAATATACGATGGCATATTCATATGCCAGAGACAATTTGATGAATTATTGCTATATGCCAGAATGTGAATAAATCACTGAAACATACAATGAGTGAACAAGGCAACTGTACTACTAATGAACACTTTACAAAAACTTTCAAAAATAAATCATTTGAAGATACATATATGGCGAAACCATAGAACAAAATAAGGAACTGATACACATAAAGCCAGAGTAATGCCACTCTCTGGGAGAGGTAGCAGGAAGAGGGGACAAACAGGAAACCAAAGCAATAACACAAGAAACACTGCAGTTCTTAAACGGGATAATGGGTTTGTGGGTATGTATTTCATTGTTGAAAAACAGAATATTTATAGGTAAGCTGGTATATGCCCTTTCTAAGCATAAAGAAACAAGGAATTTAACAACGATTATTTTCTAAACAGGAAGGAATATGAAGGCCTTCCCTCTTAATTTTGAACACTTCTGTGACATATATATTTGTATAAATATATACTACATTTAAAAAAATGAGCAGGGTCATCTGTGTAAATGAGTTATGGGATGTTTAAATTTTCTTCTTTATACATTGCATTTGTTTATATTTGAATAAAGGCTACATGGGTGGCTTTCCCTGCAAAAAGGAACTGTAACAGACCCTTGTGAATATTCACTTAACTAGTAACTCAGGTCAGATGGTGGCTACTACCCAAAACAATGTCAAGAAGGGGTATCTGAAATATAAGTTCTACAGGCAAATTTGTCTGATTAAAAATATATAATGCCACATACAGACCAGGCAATAAATTCCATTTTGTGTTCATTTTATTTCACCATTTTTGCACCATGACTATAATTTTACTTAAGAAAACAAGCAAAACCTGAAATGATTTAAAGGTCATTTTGGCTGATAGTCCATCTAAATGGGAAAAATAATTTAAATATCACCATCACCAATAAATTCATTTATTATGCAATAATTTGGGTTTTTTAAAATGACAAACTGATATGCTTTTAAAAATCTTACTGTTATTCCTTCATGTTCTCTCTTCACATGTCCTTTATTCTCCTGAATGGCCCTGAGTTCTGAAGAACTCAAATTCTGTGCATTTTCTACCTTTTGACCTAGAGATTTGGTGGGGGAAGAAAAATCAACAGAAGGAATGTTTCAGAAGGAAAATTAGAAAAACAATTTTTCCATATAAATATAACTATCAAAGTACCTATTTAGAATTGGAACTCTATATAATGCTGGCAGATATATAACAGGTACAACCACTTTGGAAAATAGGTATTATCTTGTAGAGAAAAACATTTTTACTGTAAATTCATTTATTCTATTTCTAGATATGCAATCTACCCTAAGATATATAAAAGCATAAATTATGGGTCTGACAAACTGGCAGCATAAAATGTAGTATATATTTATACAAAACTCAAATGCCACAGAAGTGTACAAAATTAAAAGGGAAGGCCTTCATATTCCTTCCTGTTTAGAAAATAACCATTGTTAAATTCCTTGTTTCTTTATGCTTAAAAAGGGCATATACCAGCTTACCTATAAATATTCTGTTTTTCAACAATGAAATACATAACCATACCCACACTGACAAGCCCACATTAAAGACTTGGTCTCTGGCCCACAGAAGGCCTTGACTACAGAAGGCTCAATGCTGTTCACTGTGGCCAATGGCTCCACTTAGTCATTCCATTAGCACAGGAAACCTTAGGAAAGGTATCTCAAAGAAAAGCTGCCTGAGTTGCCAACAGGTAAACCAACAGGAAGTAGAGAGCAGTAAATTGGCTCATTAGCACTTAAAATGAAGACTGACAAGAGAAAGCAGGAAGTTTCAGTAATAAGAAAAGGAATATCGCCACAAATCCCATAAACATTTAAAAAGGCCACAAGAAGATTTTATAAATAATCTGAGGCCAAGAAATATGAAAATAAATATGAACTGAACAAATTTTCAGAAAAACATAATTTATCAAAATCAAAACAAGGAAAATCTGAATAGCCCTATAATTCTTAAAAATGGTTAATTTTTAAGTTCTTTAATTGGTAAAAAGTATATATAGTTATCAATTATAACATGATGTTTTAAAATATGCATACAATGTGGGATGGCTAAATTGAGCTAATTAACATATACATTACCTCACATACTTCTTTGTGTGCATGTGAGAGAGTTCTTAAAAATCTACTCTCTTAGCAAATTTTTAAGAATACTATACACTGTATTACAATTATACTATAATTGCCATATTGTACAACAGATCTTTTAAACTTATTCCTTCTCCCTTAAGTGAAATTTTTAAAAAATATGAATAATATTTTAAACCCCTCTTGTGAGAAAACTCCAGGAAACTAACAGATTCCCCACATATTTAAGGAAAACAGTGATAATCTTTTTTTCCCCTTTCAATGGTGAAGATCAAACACAGGACTTTGGGCATGCTAGGCAAACACTGTGCTTCTGAGCTATATCCTCAGCCCTAATAATAATAATTTTACACAAATCTTTAAAAGAGTATAAAATCTTTCAGACAATAGATTTCTTTGGATTATTTTTTACTACATTTTCTTATTTCAAGAGGATTTCTAAGAAGGAACACTTTTCTACACGTTTTATGAGACTAGCATATACATGATATTAAGAGATATAACTTATTAATAAACAAGGTAGATTTGTTTCTTAATTAATTCATGACACTAAATTGGAATGATAAGTATGTTGATACTTTATAAAACTTTAAACACGTGTTTTCACTATAAAGTATACTATTAACTGTTAATGGATTGAATCATCTATCTCTCTGTTTTCTCCACCCTATCGCTGCTGAAAGTTGTTGGCAAAACCATGTAGACAAATGCTACTGCAAGTTATTTTCAACCTCAGCAGTGTTTGGAAGTTGCTAGTAAACTTTTCCACAAGTCTGGTCAGCTTTCCATTCTCATTTTCAACTTCCACAGCTCCTCTCACAGCCCATTCCTCATTTCCCTTCATGCTGCCCCCGTGCTTTCTACATAATGTGCTATTCCTTCTGCTCTTGTCTAGGAATATTTTCTGCCTCCTTCTTACTCTAGTCATTTGCCAAACTTGATATATTTTAAAGAAATATATTAAACAATGAAAACATTTCATTGGTAGAAACCACATCCTTGTAATCAAAAAGTAAATTCCCTCAAAATATATTCAGAATAAATGTAGAAAGGAATACTCTCTGCAGTTCCCAACCTCCAACCAGAATCTACATTCTGAATCAATAACTGAAGAAACCAAACCTTGAGAAGAATCTGAGCACAGTGGCTCAGTGATGTCAGATGTGCTGCTGCTCCGGAGGACCTGTTGCTGTCCCACCATGAGATGACCAGACTCAGCTACGGGTACATTTTCTGACTGTTGACACTCCTCCACGTCTGTGAGCATTAACACAAAAAATGAAGTGTTGTAGCTTAAGATTTTTAAAAATATTTTCACCATTTAAAAAAACAAATTTAAAAAATTAAGTTTTAGATACTTTTCCACAAAACCTTTGCAGTAAGATAATTTGTATTTATATCATCAAGTTTCCTATCCTTGTTAACACTAATATTCCACTCCAATAATATATTTTTCTTTTAAGTTCTACTCAGCTTTTTATTTTTAAATCAAAGTAAAGGGTGAGAAGGTAGTGAAAGCCACAAAAATGATTGAGAGCTGTAAGTCACTTGAAATTTCAGGGGCAGAAAGGAAAGAAAGATCCAGTAACTTGGGAGATGCACAGAGAGGACAGTTTATATTTGAGGACAGTAGAAAGTCACACACACACACAAACACAAAAGGAAGATGAAAGAAAACAAGAATTTCAACTGTTATTTCTTTTACCAGAAAAGTGCACAACTGACCAAAATAAAACTCTGTTTAATGGTGCATATCGCTAATGGACAAAAAGATCTCTTGGTATATTTATAGACCTAACACACATATGACTATAATAAAAATAACTGAGTACTGATTCCTGGATAATCTCCACTAGGATTATTACTAACTATGTTGCCCTGGAGAATGAGTTTCCTCTTAGCTCATTTCTAAAATGCATAATTCATTTTAATCTCTAAAAGCCACCCAAGGCATTGGGATAACCACTCTACCTTCTCTCTCTAGAGTTAGGGCTTTGAGGTTGTATCATCTTTTTTCTAGGTCATTTTATTTGCCTTCTAACTAGTCACTGTTCCCCTTCTTTTTGCCACCCTTGTATGTGTGCTCCAGAGAGGTGCCTCTAAAACAAAGATCTGTCTATACCACTCCTCTTAAAACCCTGAGAGGCCTTCTATCATCAGGGGGTCAAATCTGTGCTCGCTGGGGTAAACAGAGTCTTCTAGATTATATTATCCCACATAATGATCCCCCTACTCCCCACAAAGAACTGGTAATTTCTTTATTCTCAGCAATAGGACCAACTTGACACCTTCTGCTCTCTTCCTCCTGCTACTCACTCCCTATGTAAACCCCAGCCATGTTCCTTTGCCCCTCCTGTCTATGCTACTATGGGCACATCCCCCTATAGGTCTTGCTTTGTGGCCACGCATGTAAGATCCATCGCTCTGTTCCTTAGCACACTCTATATTCACTGATGTAGTTATAAAACTTTACATCCACATAATCATGACACCATATTTTCCAAATTTTTTAATCAGCTAAAGTTTCACTGCTACTAAGAAAAGACTGATTAAAATTCAGTCTGTATTATCTTACCTGGCTATGTCACCCAATTCCTCACTAGAAATGGAGGCTCACTGGCAGTGAGCCTCCCTCTGTATAGCCCTTTCTATACTCCAAGCCATAAGTCAAAGTGATGGTTCACCTCAACCAAGAAATGGTATAAATGATGATTCTAAGTTTAACATGCAGGAATTCTACAAAGGGTTGCTGCTTTATTTTTTCTATCCAAATGAAAAATCCATTTACTGTTATATTGATACAATTACAAGACTTCAAAACTATGAAATTGGTGGGATAGTTCATTTAAGATTCAAAGTTCTACACTACAGTCTAAATTTGGATGCTGATCAGAAAGTGAGCTTAGAGTGTAAGAAAACATAGACTAAGGTTCCAGGAGAAGACAGACTCATTAAAGTCTCGTTTTCTCAGATTTTCTTTGCCTTCATCTTAAGTAGTCAAGCACTGATCATTTTTTTCCATGGAGAAACACAGAGCATATGTGCAATTTTTTTTAAAAAAAATTAGCTACACATCCTAAAGCACAAATCTCCTTCTAGTGTCTTCAGCATTACACAATAAAAAACATATGACTCCATGAGCCAGCCCTTCATCTATCTTCTTTCATTGTTTATTCTAATTATGCAAGATGCAGAAACCTTGTAAGAAGAGAATATATTTGTTAATGAATATTCTTTTAAATCTAATATCAGTAGAGGGCGCCCAAGAGCTTTCTAACTTTCTAAAATATAATTGGCCAGTGCCCATTTTGTGGATAGTGGGAAGAGCAGTGGGTTTTATTCTCTTAATCTGAGGCCAAAATTGGTAGATGTTGCTTTCTGGAGTATGAGCAGAAGCAAATAAAAGCCGAGCCAACACTGGCAGCTTCCTTCTAAAGATAAAGAACACCGCCATCTGGTGGGATACAATACAGCCACAGCACCATCCCTTCCAAATTAGAGTGCCCCCACTGGTCCTCAACATAGCAGACGGAGGAAGCGCCTGCCACCACCAGCTGGTCTGTCTTCCCAACAGGCTGGCCTAATGCAGCTTTTAAAGCTTTGTTTTTGCAAAACTGTCAGGAGAGATTTCTCAAATGGAGGAAGCCCAAGTTATAGAAATAACTGGAAGAAGCAGGAGTATCAGTGACTGAAGTGGAAGAAAGGTGACAGTCACAATGCCAAGTGCACTTGTTGTATTGTCAGAGCTCTGAGTTACTCCTGTAGTTGACTATCATGAGACAAGGTATGGGAAATTTTCAATTATTCTGATCCCACAATTTAAACCCAATTGCCTGTTTTGTAAGTATACATCATTTCTTGGGCTTTTTTCATTCTTTGCACTAAGTATGCACTCAATCCATGCTTTCTAATATATGGACAAACAAATGATAAAACATGTTCATGAGGCTTTTCTTTTTTAACAGATCTTGGGCTCCCTCTGCTGGTATTCCATTTGTTAAGAAAGGGCAATTTGTGCTAAAGTTGCTCCCATCCTAGTGTCAGCTGTAACAGTCATTCTTTTATAACAAATGCAGGTCATTTTAACACTGATAAGAAAATATCAAGATACAGAATTATGTAATATTCAAAGTTGAAAAATAATGATCCACAATATAGAAAAATTACCTGATAAATCTTAGATCTAATGCATCTTCTGTTTTGAATGTCACATAATAATTGTTTTGAATCACTTCAAAGAACTAAATTCTGGCTTGATTCACCAATTCATTTACTGTCTCAAAAGCCTAGTTAATCCCAATAACCCAAATTTTAAAAGCACAAACTTTCTTGACTCTTAATGGTATAAATTTCTCAATACTAAATGCTTTGCTTTCTAAAACTTTACTCAAAACATCAAAAAATGATCAATAAAGGATTACTTAATTTTTTCCCACTGAGAAAAAGAATCATCAAGATTTAATGAAACCAAATGTGTAAGCTCTTAATTAACTTTTATTTTTTCCAGACATCTGAATATTTTCAAAGTAATTTGAAAGTTAGGACTTTCTTAATCAATCTTATTTAATGGAATGAGGCTCATGTTTTACTAATCAAAGTTCCGGGTTCCAATTACCCTTATACAAGGCTGTTTAAGTAAAATGAAGAGAATAATTTCCTAGTTTTAAAAAAATTATACATGATATCAACTTAAACTTATAAAAAACACAGTAGATATATATTCACTCAACATTGAGGCTTCTCACAAGATCAAGGTTTCCAAAAGTGAGTCAGCCCCAGTCCTAACAGACAATGAGCATTTCCCCAGAGCCTACCAACAAGATGCAGAAGCAGCTAAGTGAGGCTTCCCATTAGGTCCCTTAAGTCTTTTTAGAATAAGGGAAGATGGCTGATCCTCTAATTACTACAATTATAATATTCCCCAAAGAAAAATAAAATCTACCATCTGCACAGCCTGTGAATGCAACAGACTGATAAATGACCCAACATAAAAAGCAGATTAAATGGCAAAACAGCTACAAGAAACTTCCCACAAAGGAAAAAGTGTTTGTGTGTGTGTGTGTGTGCTATTCAGCAATTCATATTAATAAAAACAGGTTGGTTGTGACTCTTCCAAAGAACAAACACCACATCTTTCCCCCTCAAAGACAAATAACTCTACCAAAATTATGTCACCACCAAATAGAGTCCCCAAAGGATCAGAGTAAATATAATTATGGTTGAAGGTAATTCTCTATTGTTTATGTTACTAAAACAATTTTTGTGAGTTGACTGGTCACACAGATTAAAAATAAAAACAAGAAATATTACCTTACGTGAAAACAAAAGCAGTAATCATTGATATGGTAAGGAATTCATGATCAGAAAATAAAATTATAAGTGTCTGAATATTATCTAGCAATAGTTTATCAGGATATGCCCATGTGCCAACCAGTAGAGGACATATACTCTAAGACTGAGGACTGATATACACTGCTCTTGGCCCCTTCTCCTAACAGGACAATCACAATGGACAACAGCATCATTTTAAGTGATATAGAACAACTGGCATCAGACTGAAAGAAGGAGCCTGATACTGTAGTTGCCAGATCAAAGAATAGCAAATTGTTCTTAAAAACACCCTAAGTCCCTTCACTCTATGTGCTATAAAACCAGGATGGCAAAAGCACAACAATAAAGACCCAGACTAGTCTTCTTCATTTCACCCTAAATAAGTGTTTTACCCTTAGCACTATTGATATTTGAGGCCTGATAGTTCTTCGTTCTTGGGCCAGCCTGTATATTGTAGGTAGTTTAGCAGTGTCCCTGACTTCTACCCACAAGGTGCCAGTTGAGAATCACTGCTCTAAATATTGAACTTCTGTTAGAACTGTTTATACAGGAACCAAGAATCTGAGTAAAATAAAATGTAAGACTGAATGAGTACAAAAGATTCTAAAATGAAATTACTAACAGGAAGAGATTTTTGTGAAAACATTACACACAAAATAAAACTAGTAAAAAATTAAAGTGAAACAATATAAAAATTAAACAAACTGTAAAATAAAACTTTTCACTACAAAAAAACCTCTTTGAGTAAGTACCAGCCAAATAGGAAGCAAATTTGTTTAAAGTATCTTTTTAATCACCTCTAAACAGTAATATTTTCTGGAAAAACCAAATAAACAGTTATAAGTTATCAGTAAGTTAACCAATGGATAGCCATTTCCCCAAGTACCATTCTTATTGTTTTTCACCATCAGTATTTACTAAAGAGT